TACATTGGGCTTCAGTCTCCTTCCCAGTATTGGGGTAGACTGGTTTTTGTTTGTTTGTTTTCTCAAGACAGTGCTTCCTGCCTGGCTGTCCTGGAACTCACTATGTAGACCAGGCTGGCCTCAAACTCACAGAGATAGATCCACATACCTCTGCATCCTGAGTGCCGTGATTAAAGGCGTGCACCACCATGGACTGGCTGGATAGACATTTTGTCTGTGGATATTTACTGAGCTGGGCATGACAGGGTACAGAGAAAAACTGACCCTGCATCCTCCCCACTCTGCAAAGGCCTCCATCTCCCTAGCAGACAGATGAATTATGAAGCAAAATGAGAAGAAACACAGATGGGGACAACACATCACTTCTTGAAATAACGCTTTGCTAAGTTTGAAGATATTACATGCTTTGGAAAACAAATTTTGGAAAAATAAAAAAAAATCAAACACTACTCATAACTCTGCTACTTAGGAGGCTCCTTTGATAGCCCATCTGCTAAAACTTCTGTGAACCTTTTCCTTTCAACACTTTTTAAAAATAGAGTTCAAGCTGAGTGTTGGTGGCACACACCTTTAATCCCAGCACTTGGCAGGCAGTGGCAGGCAGATCTCTGTGAGTTCAAGCTAGTTCCAGGACAGGTTTCAAAGCAATACAGAGAAACCCTGTCTTGAAAACAGAAAAAAACAAAAAACGAAACAAACAAACAAAAAGATTTCAAGCCAAGTTGCCATACAAATTTCTTCCAGGCTTTATCATATAATATTATTTGTATTAATTTCCTCCATGGCCAGACTAATCATGTTGAAAGACTATGTAATTACTTTTAATTTTGTTGTGTGTGTGTGTGTGTGTGTGTGTGCGCCGATGCTATGCAGGCCATAGCAGCGGTACTGGGAACTGAATTCCTGTTCTCTACAAGAGCAGAACATGTTCTTAACAATTGAGCCTTTCTCCAGCTGCAGAGATCATTTTAAGGGGGTTGGAGAGATGGCTCTGTGGTTAAGAGCACTGGCTGCTATTTTTAGAGGATCTGGATTCAATTCCCAGCACCTACATTGCAGTTCATAATCATCTATGACTCCAGTTCCAGGTGACCTGAGTGAGGGCACTGGCATGTACACACAGGCAAGACACCCATACACATAATAATAATAAAGAGGCTGTTATTTCAGCAGTTTGTGGTGGTGCATGGCTTTAATCCCAGCACTCAGGAGGCAGAAGCAGGCAGAACTCTGTGAGTTCAAAGTCAGCTTAGTCTACAAGTTCCTGAACAGCCAGAGATTACACAGAGAAACCCTGTCTCAAAAAACAAACAACGCTGGATGTTGGTGGTGCAATCCTTTAATCCCAGCACTCGGGAGACAGAGGCAGGTGAGTCTGGTCTACTGAACGAGTTACAGGACAGCTTCCAAAGCTACAGAGAAACCCGGTCTTGAAAAACCAATCAACTAAACAACCAACCAAACCAAACCAAACCAAACCAAACAAGAGAGAGAGAGAAGGAGAGAGAGGGGCTGTTTTATACCTACATTCAATGTTATTGTGTGGATCACTCAATTTCTTTAACCTTTCTTCAGTGCTAAGGTTTCCTTAGGGAAAATGTCTGTAACTTCACAGTCTGGGAGGCTCAGGAAAGAGCATCATCATAAATTAGTGGACAGTGTGGGCTATATAGAAAGTCCAGGCTGAACTGAGTAACAGAATGAGGCCCTGTCTCAAAACAGAACCAAACACAAGACAGCTGTGGCATGGCTCAGTGTATAGCAGCATGTCTTGCCTACAGAGACCCTGGGTTCGAGTCTCTGCCACAGAATAAGTGAGCAAACAAGGACAAAAAGGAACAAAAAGCTGGTGCCTGCTGTGGTCCCCGAAGGAAGTGGTGGTTCCAGAATAGAAAGGGGGCAGAGCTGTGGGTGGGGAAAGATGTTCCTTGTCCTTGATGAGCAGGTGTAGAGGAGAATGGCCTAGAAGCTGATGCAGGCAGAAGCAGGATGGTGGCTGGCTACAGACTTGGAGAGAAGTCTAGCCCTCAGTTTCTTGTTAGACAGCCTAAGTGGTGAGTGGAGATTTTCTTCCTAGGAGGAGCAACTGGGCCTGCATCCCCCCCCCCCATCCCCACCACCTGCCTATGCTCCTGTCAACAAGGCTTCTGTAAGTTGAGAGCCATGAGTACCCCTGGTGTGCAGGGACTAAAATTCTGGAAGGGGTCAGGTGCTATCAAAGTAAATCTGTTTTGTGAGTGGTGTAGAAGTGGGGACAGTTGGGGACAAGGATTTTGTCTTAGAGGGGGTAGCAAGTCTGGAGGGGAACCCTGAAGTTTCGAACAAACAGGTATTTCAAACCTGGGTTGGGAAGGTGTCTCCTTCCTTCCTTCCTTCCTTCCTTCCTTCCTTCCTTCCTTCCTTCCTTCCTTCCTTTCTCTTTTGGATTTTTTAGACAGGATTTCCCTGTGTAGTCCTGGCGGTCCTGGAACTCATTCTGTAGACCAGGCTGGCTTCAAACTCACCTCCTCTGCCTCCTGAGTGCTAGCATTAAAGATGTGGTGCCACCACCACCCAGCTTATTTATTTATATTTTGAGTTACTGTCTCATTATGTATCCATAGCTGGTCTAGAACTTGCTACAACCAGGCTGGTCTTGAACTCACAGAGATGCACCTGCCTCTGCCTCCCTAGTGCTGGGATTAAAGGCGTGCACCACACTGCCCAGCGTTGTTTCTTTTTTGCTTCCTAATTGATATAATTAAAGACATGTGGCTTTTTATTTTCTTTGGAAATTTTATTTATTTAGTTTTGTGTGTGTTTACATCACTGTGTGTGCATATATGTCAGAAGACAACTTATAGGAGCTTGTTTTCTCCTTCAATCACGTGGGCCCTAGGGGCCACACTCAGGTTGTCAAATATAGTTTGTTACTCCCTGAGCTGCTTTTTATCCTGTACAGAGTTCTCCCCTTCAGATCTAGCTATTATATTTGTTCATGTTACAGATACTTTCTTCACATTTGCCACACTAATCCCAGTGCTGGGTACTGTTTTATGTCAGGAAACAAAAGGTCAGACATCTTTGTCCTTGCTGCATTCACTTTTCCTGGGGAGATGTGATCTTCCTGTCCCAGGTAAGATACCAACTGCAGAACAAAGGAATGAGTCTGCCCAGTCTGGGTTGGTGAACCTATTTTATCACATCTGCTTTTAGGAGGCAGAGTGAAGGGTTGCTTATAGACAGATGGGTGGGTGATGAAGAAAAAAGAAAAACTCACATCACCTAAATGTCTCAGTTATAGCTTCATAGGAGTGTCCCTCTCTTCCATTAATTTTCTACCTCCTAAATAACTCCAACGCTCCCAGAGGCCACATGAAGCAGAGGGAGAGTTACACATTACAGCTGTCAGTAGCCCCTCACGCATGTTGCCACAGTAAGTCTAATAAACTTACTGGTTCATCGAGGGAGATGTGTGGAATTGTTGGTCTGTTGTGGGTGGGCACCTTCCTACTTGGAGCATGTGGATGTCTGTCCACATCTCCCAAGAAAATATCTTTGTGGAACTTATCTTCAACTGGAAGAAGATGAAGGATAAAATATAAAAATGAGTTCTTAGGAGAAGAGGGCACAGTGTAGTGTTGAATGTGCATGTCAGGGCTCAGTAATCTTATTCTGATAGAAATTTGCTAGATTGTTCTGGTAGAACAATTCTGCCTCCCTGGCTTTCCTAGTGCAGCCAGCAGAGCAAGCCACTGAAGGTGTGTCTGGGACCTGCAATGTCAGCAGGTGCAAAGGCCTGGAAGCTGAGTGCCTTCACCTGACACAAGAGGGACAGCAAGAGGCCTGTGTCCAGATACAGGAGGGAGCAAGGTCAGGCATGCCTGGAGAAGGAGTATGCCAGATCAAGGCCTGTGCAGGCATCTGAAGATCTCAGCTTCTGTTTGTAATTTAACGAGGAACTAGTGAGGGTTTTGAGCAAAGTGCTATAGTTCAACTTGGGATTTATTTATTTGTTTATCTTTTTATGGTGCAATGAATCAAACTCAGGGTCTAATGAATGCTAAGCAAGTGTTCCTCAGACAGGATTAAAGGAATGCACCACCATTGTCCCGCTTAGACCTAGGTTTAAAGGAATCCCTCTGATTCCCACATTACACTGACACAGACTGGCAGAGGATGAGGTTGGAAAATCCAAGCTATCTTAATTCATAAAACCTGGGCAGAGCCTGGGTCACATGACAGTAGTGGGGTGGAGTGGAGGGGGTCAGAGTCTAGGGAGGCAGGATGTCCTGCCTAAGTGGATAGAGTGGGAGACTCGAGGATGATTCCAGACTTTCTGACCAGGAGATTGGAAGCAGAGATGAGGGAATGTTGTTAGGAAACGGGTGTGGAAGAGGAGGCGGTTGAACCCCCTAAGTCAGAAGCATGGGAGCTGGAGATAAAAATAAACTTGGTTGCTTATTACGCATTTCAGTTAACTGGGTAAGACGTGGGAACCTCGCAAATCAAAATGAGGTAGGGGTCTGGAATGACATTTGCAGAATTGGGTTACTTAGGCGGCCTGGATGAGGTGGGGCAGGACCCAGGGTAGCTGGGTGGAGTGGAAAGAAAAGGAAGGCCTCTTTCGGTGCTCTGCAGTTTCATTTTGCATAACTGCACAAAACGCTCCATAGCCCCACACCCACCCTACACGTCGCAAACGGCCACTAGATTTCCTTTCACCTTCAGCGTAGGCGCAGAAAAAGCTTGAGAGAATTGAAGCGCTGGCTAGCCTGCGGGTGTCCAGGGCAGAATCTGTGCATCCGAGGACTGTGTCAGAGCGGGTCAGTCTGTGCATCTCAGGACTGTGGTGGGTGACACTCTGCAATCTGGGACTTAGGTCTCTTGTAGTGCGTTTGCGAGTTGTGAGAGGCCAGAGCAGTCCTCCTGACCCGAGATGCGCTCGTGGGGCTTCGTAGCACGCGATCCCTTTAAGACTGGATGAGTGACCTCAGCCGCGCGCTCCGGCCCCGCCCCCGCCAGCGGCGCTCCGAATGCGCAGGCGCGTCGCGGCGGTACTCGGCGGGGCTCGGGACGCGCCAGGCGGCGAAGGTACCGGGCTGCGGCGCCTTCTGCTCCACTCGCAGTCGCCAGCGCTATGGGCTCCTGAGGTACCCGGGCGGCGGGATGCTCGGGATGAGCTGGGACCCGGAGGGCTGCGCCTCGGGGAGAGCCCCACGCTGAGGGCTCCTCGCAGGAGGAAGGGACGTACAGGCCCCCGCGCGGCCCGTGGGTGTGCCCGCTCTGCCAGCGTGGCGGGGCCCTGAGAGTAACCGGACCTGCCCGTGGGGGAGCAGGGGTGGGCGGCGCGGGGCCCGGCCTCTTACTGGTGGGACTGTGAGCACCGCGGTGGGTGTGCTGCATCCAGCCTGGCACTACTGAACAGGATGGGGAAGCGTCCATCCGTCCCTGATGCGGTGGCCTTGACCTGGCCGGGTGGTCGACCCTCGAGGCGGTACAACTTACATGGGGACGTGTGTGTGTGTGTGTGTGTGTGTGTGTGTGTGTGTGTGTGTGTGTATGCATGCGTGTGTGTGTGTGTGCATGCGTATGTGTGTGTACGCGCCTTGCACACAGGTCAGTAGATTTGGAGGGGGACAAATAGGAATCCGGGGCCCCCAGGATGTTGGTGTTCAAAGGAACCCTAGAGATTGGTTTGAATTTGTGCGTCCGACCTGTGTGTTATGCATGTTTTCCTGGGCACGCCCTTGGACACCTTGCTTGGATAGGACTCCAGTGCTAAGGGTCTGCAAGGCATGGGAGTCTGGGGGATGGGCCTGGATTTCTGGGAGACTGTATGAGGCCGGACACCTCATCCCTTGCAGGCCTCTGTGGGGCAAAGCAGGTGTCTGCCTGCCTGATACCTGTGTGTGAGGTGAAGGACCATATATTATTCATCTGATTGCCAGGTGCTGTATGTTAGGAGAGAAGTAGCAATCTGTGCCCTGGAGGCTAATGCTGCAGACTCAGCCAGCACACATACACAGTCAGACATACAGACACACATAACAGCAGCCCCAGCGGAGGTGCAGGTCTTAGAAGTTTGGCTTTCTTTCCTTTTTTCTTTTGTTTGTTTTGTTTTTCAAGGCAGGATTTCTCTGTGTAACCTTGGCTGTCCTGGAACTTGCTCTGTAAACCTGGCTGGTCTCAAACTCAAGAGATCCACCTGCTTCTTCCTCCTGAGACCTGGAATTAAAGGTGCTGCCACCACCTCCCAGCTGAGGTTTGGCTTTCTTGATAGGCTGTTTGCACCATCCCTTCCTGTGTCAACAAGTTTGGTGGGCCCTTGGGCTCTGCACATTCTGTGTTGTGCCAGAGTTGGAAGGGTGGGGGAACCCCAGAAGCCAGGCTGGTGTTCACCAGGACACAGATTCCATGATCCAGGCATCTAGGAACTCTCTCTCAGGTAGTTGGACAGAACTAGACTTGGAAATAAATAACCACAGGGATTCCAGAAACACAAGACAAAGGCAGAGTTGTGCAGAGGTGGGTTTAGTGCTAGGTGTGGGGAGGGGGAACAGGCCAGCAAAAAAGACTTCAGCACAAAGGGACTGTTGAGCTCAAGCTGGGTGACTGACATTCCTCAGGGGCTTTTTGCTTTTCATGTATGTTTTCCCAGTTCATTCTCACAGTAGCTGTGTGAGTAAAGTATTGTTCATAGTTGTGGACGAGGAAACTGAGGCAGCGGGTGTTGGGAGGAATTAGTGACTCACTTGTCAGTGTGATACTAGTAAGCTCTGGTGGAATCCATCATCCTTGAGTCAGGAACTGTGTCTTGCCAAGTTGTCTTGTAACTTACTGAGCATCTACTGTATACCAGGCTCAGGGCTATCTCCATTCCCTGCTGTGCTCATTCTCTCCTTGAGGTCCCTGGAGTAGAACATGGAGGAGGGACAGGACCTGCTACCTGCCTCCAGAGGCTCCCAGTCTGCTGAAGAGGTGGACCTAGATGGTGACCCCATTGTCTAGTTGTGAGTGGAAAGGCTCTAAATATTCCCCAGGGGCTGCCCTTGTGCAGTCCTGGGGAATGGGTTGTAAATTGCTCCCAGGGTGGTGGGGTTGTACTAGGAAAGAGTAGAAGAACTTCTAGAGCAGAAGGATGTGGCCAGCTTGTCCTCGTTCAGGGCACTAACTGAGTTCTATGGACCTGGACTCTTGTCTAGGGGGCTGCTTTCTCCCACACACTCTCTCTCTCTGTCGTGTGTACTAAGTCGGGGCTCAGGCACTCTAGGCAGGCAGTGTGCCGCTGAGGCATGTCTTCAACTCCCTCCCATTCTCTGTCCATGAGGTTTTGCTCCTATTTGCTGGCTGGCCTGCCCGCCCAGTCCTCTCCCCAAGAGGGGCTCAGTGCTATTTCTAGTCCCTGCTGTGCTCATTTCTCTTTGTATGATCCCTGGAGTAGAAACTGCTAGGCAAGGCAGGGTACAGCCCTTTATTGTTTTGAAAGTGAGTAGTAGCAAATGAGACTGGGGATTTGGTGTGGGTGCTGGGAGACCTGGAGCTGGGCTCCCAGAGTTCTACATGGGGTCTGCCCCAGGACCTTGGCCGAGGCTTTTGGGGCAGCAAATACTTACTGTCTCCTGTGTGCCCTGGATTTGCTGGCTATTGGCCACCAGGGCAGTAAGGTCAGAGTCCTGGGTTGTACCCCTGTCAAAGGCTGTGGTTGGCTGAGGTAGCCCAGCTTGTAAATAATACATTTGAGACAGTGCCCTACCTGTGGTAGCAAGAGGGCTCTAAAGGGGCCCAGAGGACAGTAGGAACAACAGCCTGTTTCTTGAGCACAGACTGTGTGTCTGGCACAGTTCAAAGTGTTTCTGAGAATGATCTTTCATCATCCACTATTGGCTGAGGTGGGGCTCACCTTTCAGAGCACAGGTCAGTTGATCCATCTCAGATTCTTATTCTTCCCCTCTAACAGGGGGTATGCTGAAGGACTAGGGGTTCTAGTAGTTTGGTACTGAGGAAGAAGGGGAGGGCTCTAGGTAATAGAAACCCCAAGCAAACTGATGTGCCTCCCCTCTCGGAGAGTTTTGATTTGGTCCTGGTGTGGTCAACAAAGAGCCTTTGAAAGTTTGAGAGGAAGTGACACGCAGAGCCCTGTGTTATGAGGCCATATCATCACCCTGCATCTTGCTTCCTTCATTCTGGCAAATACTCCACGATGACCTGCCTCCTTCCTGTTTGCTACCCCTTTGGTCCCTGGCTTTATTTTAGTCTTTGCTTCTGTTTTTCTTTTGCATCTTCTGGGCTGGAGGTTACTGGGTCCAGGCCAGGCCTCTGAACCTTCCCTTGAAACATTGCCTGCTCTGCTCTCTGTCATTTGGCAACACTGAACAACTTATGTGTTTGTTTTGTGTTTGAGACATGTATTCCAGGCAGAACTTGAATTGACTGTATGACTGATGACTTGAATTCTGATCCCTCTTTACCTCCAATGCCTAGGATTACAGGCATGTGCCATCTGCCCAGTGTATGCAGTACTTTACCTGCTGAGCCAGCCCTGGACTTGTTTTCCTAAGTATTGGGCTACTGACTGACCCTGGTCTCCTGGGGTCATAGCTTCTCGTGTCACAGATCTCAAATGCCCCTGGGAGGTATGGCCTGTCACTCACTGTCCATGCTTGGATCACTCAGCTCTATGACCATAGGCAGAAAGGAGCAGTAGGGAGAGCCAATATTGGGGTCAGGCAAGTGGGGTGAAGCTGTGGGTCTTTGAGCTCTGAGAAGACTTGCCTGCTCTATTTTGCTAGGGGCCAGACTGGCTGGCATTTGATGCAGTGACTTGCCAGTCCTCCCAGAGTCTGAGGAATTAAACCTCATCCCTTCCCTGGGCAAAGGCTGTGAGATTGTACATGCCCTACCTCTGAAGCACAGCTGTGTGAGGAGATGGGGCTGACGAGCTGTGAGCATGAAAGTTCAGGGAGGATGCCAAGCTGAGTGCCCTAGGATAGGCAGTTGAGAGTTCAGGAATCTGGGCCAACAAGATGGCTCAGTGGGTAAAAGTGCTTGCTGTGCAAGGCTGATGACCCAACTTTGATCCCTAGAGGCTATGGTGGAAGGAAAGCACCAACTCCTAAAAATTGTTCACTGACAATCACATGTGCACTGTGGCACTCCTGTGTCCATATTCACACACACACACACACACACACACACCATAAACCATACAGACACACACCACACACACACCATACACACACACATCATACACACACACTACACACAGACACCATACACACACATGCCACACATACACATACCCCATACACACACTATACACACATACACTACACACACCATACACACATGCCACACATACACAGATACCATATACACACACACTACACACACACACCCCATATACACACACATACCATACACACACACTATATACACACCACACACACCATACACACACGTACATTGTACACATACACCACACATACATATACACACTACATACTACACACACACACACTCTAATAGTAATAATAAAACTAAAGTTTAAAATTAGAGACTTCATAGATGCATTGAAAATGGTCAGTGAGAGCAGGAAAGAGGGAGCTAATGAGCTGAGCAGTTCTGGTGACCTGAAAAAAGAATTAGGAATTGCAGGTTAAATTCTTGCTTTAATTAGCACTGTGCCCTTGGGCAGGTTGCTTACCAGGTATAATTCATATTTTTAAAAATTAAGGGAGCTGGGCATGGTGGCACATGGGTTTAATCCCACACTCTGGAGGAAGGAAAGGATAAAGCAGATGGATAGCTCTGTGAGTTCTAGGCCAGCCTGGTCTATATAGCAAGTTCCAGGACAGCCAGTGCTGCATAATGAGACTTTGTTTTATTGAGATAATTATTTGTCTCAGACTATAAAGCAATAAATAGATAAGATTAAGATGGTGGTATTGTTGTACCTTATGTAATCCTACTACTTGGAAGGTTGAGGCAGGAAGAGGAGGTCAAGGGCAGCCCGGGGAAGGACAGCTGCAGTTTGCCTCATCTGTAGACTACAAGTACTGATAGCATAGGCATTATAGGGCTGTTGTGACCCAGGGTTTGTATTAGTGCAGGGCATGCATGTGATAGCTGGAGGGCAGCCTTGGGTGTTCCT